TAAATATTGGTGGTACTTTTTTCTCCAAATCTTTTATGGTTCTCATTGGTTTAATGGATGCCAGTTGCTAGAGCTAGAAGGAGAGGGCTAGGCAGCCTATTTTAGTTGAGTGTTATTCTCTCTCTAAATTCTTTCTTTAAAAAAAAAAACAAAATCTAGCCAAAACATCAGTCCTCACCAATGGATTAATAGAGATGGAGGAGATATGATGACTCAAATAATAAAATGTACAAGAAGCAAGAATGCTTTGTGTTTGAACGCTCATATCCCCCAAATGTCTTGTTTGAATTGCCTCAGACTTTCAAATATTTTAGCCTAGCATAACTTTGTCTATGAAATTGCAGGTAGGTTAATGTACTACTGGCAAAACTGAGTCGTTGAACAGGGTTGTGATGAGACTTGTTTAATCCTCTCTAGAGAGTAAATAGATCATATAAATATAATGAAAGCTGTCTTGGAAAATTCCTAGTGTATTCTAGCTATTCCAAATCTTCCTCTTTTTCTTGGTAGCTGCTGGCTGTCTTGGTTACTTACAAACCTTTTTATGTTTTGGGATATCTGAGATTCTTTAAAAATGTTATACCAGTCTTGTATTCTAAATCAGTGGATTAAAGATATTTAAATTAGCAGCATCCTAAATTAGAATAAATTGTAGTAAATAGGGTTCAACCTTGACATTAAATCTATAAATGGGGGTCTTGGTGCTAATTGGGGCATGTGGGCACTACCAAAATGTATATATTTGCACACACAAAACAGTATTAGGGTTTCAAAGTCTAGCAATCAAACCCTGGGAAATATCAGAATTAAGGTTGCCTGTCCCGGTGTGTATGCATCATGATAATAGGAGATCATATAATTAGACTAGCTTTTTCACAAGATCCTTGCCTTATTTAGTGCATAGGACTGTGTGCGCTTTGGGGATGAATTAGGTTTGTGGTAGTGAAAGCAGCTGTTGTCTGCAGGATGCCTACCTCATTTGTTGTAGAAATTTGGAAGGTCTGTAGTGAATGAGGCAGGGGGTTGAAGGAACAGAAGGGAGTGTAATGGCAGTTGAATACTGCCCTAGAGAATTGGATTCTATACCTGCACACTGCACCATAGAGTTACTATCTGATACTGGCCTAGTCACTTAAACCAACATTTTCACTGGTGGTCACTAGTTGTTACTTATTTTCTAAGAACCCAAAGTGAGACCCTGGGGTCTGATTTGCAGATGTGCTGAGCAGTCATAGCTACAACTGGACTCCATAGGAGCTATGCTTTGAACAGGTAAGGTGCTATATCAGGGGTTCTCAAACTGGGGGTTAGGACCCCTCAGGAGGTTGCAAGGTTATTACATGGTGGGGGGGGGGGGTTGCGAGCTGTCAGCCTCCACCCCAAACCTCACTTTGCATCCAGCATTTATAATGGGGTTAAAAGTGTTTTTAATGTATAAGGGTCGCACTCAGAGGCTTGCTCTGTGAAAGGGGTCACCAGTACGAAGGTTTGAGAACCAGTGTGCTATATAATGCTAATTACTCTGAGAAAACAAGCCCTAGGCATTGCAAATTGGGCACCCAAAAATTAATGGACACTTTTGAGTTTAATCTCTCTGTGCCTCAGTTCCCCATCTGTAAAATGGACATTATACCTTCACTTCACTTTATGGGTGTTGTGAAAATAAATTAATATCTGTGAAGCATTCAGATACTATAGTGATGAGCACCATAGAAAAGTCCATGAGAAAATTAATAATTCTGTATTCAAACCCTTTTCTGAATAGTGTGCAGTAAATAAGGCACAGGACAAACCATTGAACACTGAAGAGAACAACAAATGGAATAGCTTCTCATTCAGTGATCACTATGCACTGAACGAGGCAGGGATCTTGTGGGGAAAAATTAGTATGTGATCATGTCATTAAAGACTGTCATAATATGTACACACAAGGACAGACAACCTTAATTCTGACACTTCCTAACTTTTGAGTGCCTTACTTTGCAACTTTAACTTTTAATAGCTTTCATCTATAATTGCTTAAGTTTTTAAAAGTGGAATTTATTTTTTTATGTTTGGTATGTGAAATCATATTGACATCCCCATGGGTCACCAGCAGGATTTGAGCCTTTAGATGCATAGCACAGGTCTCTGCTTCTTGAGTAACAAAAGTAACACATAGCAGTGTAACTTGCTGACAGCAGAGGCTGTTGACTTGGGAATCGTGGGTTCCATTGCAGGTTCTGAAGAGAGTGTTCTCTAATGGTCACAGACCTTTCTACAGTGTTCTCCACAAGCCTGGCCCCTTCTGTCCCTGTCTTGACCTGCCCCCCTTTCTGACCCAGTCTCTTCTTCCCGGTCTCTTCACATAGCCAACCCCAGTCTCTATTTCAGTGCTTCCCATCTGATTCCCAGTTCATACTCCTCACCCCAGTCTCCCCTGGTGGCCTCACCCAGCCATCTCCAATCTATCTTTCAGTTCCCTCCTACTGTCACCCCCCTCCACCGCCTAGTCCTTGGCTTTGTCTACCCTAGTACCTTTGTTGACAAAACTTTTGTCCGTTAAGGGTGTGTGTCGGGGCGGGGGGAACACCATCAGATTTCAAACCCTTGCTCCAAAGTATGGAAGTTTTAGAACTTCTCAATGAAATGGTTGTAAGAATTTATTTAACATGGGCAAAACTTAAATTTAATTTTTTCCTTAACCTTGTTCTCAAACAGCTGGACCTTTTTGCTGAAAGATAGATAAATAAAATTCAGCCTGTGGCAGTCTGGAAATCTTCAGCCTGAACTGTTAAAATTCAGCAAAGTTATAAGCAACGGAAGAACAAAGTCTTAAAGTTGTCTGACGCATCCCATTATAGCTATAGGTGGTGCTGTCAAATTTTGCTATTATATTAATAATAATAAAAAACAGTTCTGGCCTAGTTAAAAGATCGTATCCAAAATAAATTTAGTGTTGGGCCTCTTCAGCTGTTGCAACTAAACAATGAATGTAATTGCTCAGCTTTAATATCCAGTGTATTTCTTCTTGTGAGTGAAAGGATTCCTGAACACTAAGAGATTTGTTGTTTGGTATTTTAAACTGTTTCTGATTCAAGATGTCAACATTTTGTAAATATTTCTGCAGTTCAGACACCGTAAGAAATGGATTGAGTTGACCTAGTCAGCTCTTGAACTTGTTTTTGGAAAGAAAACGATTAAGAGCAGCTAGTGTCCGTTACCTTACTTTGTTTTGTTTTTAAAGTAGGAAGTCAAAATATACCAACTAAATTTAAAAGAACATTATAAAGGTTGCAAAGTAAACAACTGAGAAGCTAGAAAATGCCAGAACTAAGGTAGGGATTGACACAATCTCTAATTACATGACCACATACTTTCTTTCCCCTCATTCAGTCCACCCTGTCCTGGAGATGAATCAGGGTTGTGCAGTGAAAGCGACTGTCTGTCTGTATTGTGCCTACTTTATTTATTGTGGAAGTTGGAAGGTGTCTAGTGAATAAGGTGGGGGGGGGGGGTGCAGGAAAGGAGAGGGTCCTTAATGCAGTTGCATGCTGCTCTGGAGAATTGGATTCTATCCCTGCCTTGACCACTGAGTTCCTATCTGATACTGGACTAGTCATTTAAACTAGACTTTTCACACATGGTCTCTAATTGTGTGTTCATCATTTTCTGGGTTCCTAAAGTGAGACCCTGGGATCTGATTTGCGGAAGTGCTGAGCACTCACAGCTGCAACTGAAGTCAGTGGGAGCTGTGCTTTGAACATATGAAGTGCTATATAATGCTAAATTCTCTGAAAAATCTGATCCTATGCTTCTCAAATTGGGCACCCAAAAACAGTGGGGAACTTTTGACGTTAATCTCTCTGCCTCAGCTCCCCATGTGTAAAATGGAGTAATACCCTCTCACCTCATGTGGATTTTGTAAAAATAAATTCATTATAATGATGAGCACCAAAGGAAAAACCCACAAGGAAATTGATAATTATGTCTTCAGATCAAGGGTTGAATAGTGTGCAGTAAATAAGACATGGGGCCACACATAGAACAGTGAGGAGAAAACAAAATTTGAATAGCTTCCTCATTCATTGTGCACTGAATGAAGCAGGGGTGCTGTGGAAAAAGTAGTTTGTGCTCATGTAATTGAAGATATGGTGCATACACACATGGCGATTTTGCTCATTGAGGGGTGGGGAGTGGGGTTACTGTACTGGTACAAAGCACTACCTTTACCGGGACAAGCTGCATCCAGACTAGGAGTGCTTTGCCAGTATGGCTATTCTAGTGTGTTGTACTGGCAAAACACACGTAGTTTGGATGCAGCTTATAACAGTATAGCTATGCTTTTCCAATGTATCTTATTCCAGGCTCCCAATTCCCTTATCTACCCACGCCAAATGAAATAAGTCTAACCAGCAAAAGCGCAGTTTTGCTAGTATAACTGTCTGCACCAGAGCCTTCTACCAGCACAGCTATGTCAGTCAGGGGTGCAATGAGGTGTGATCCTTGACTGACACAGTTGTGCTGGCCCTAATCACTTTTTCACCTTTGCCAGCATTTTGTGTTCTCCCCTGTTCTTGATCTTATTCAGCCCACATTTTAGATTCTTACCGAAATACTTCATAATGAAGGGACTACTCTAAAGTGTTTTTGGATTCACCACTTAGCCCTTGACATATAGGCAGAGTAGTACAGCATAAAAACAAGAGGCCGTCCCACAAGATTGCAAAGAGGTTGACTTGGAACTCGTCTAGGTATAAATTATATGTAAGCAAGTGTGGCAGCTGTTTTCTGTTGCAATACTTCAGATTTCTTGGACACCAGAACTTATTCACATGACTGGGGTGGGAATACTGAACATAAGGATTCTTGCATACTTTTTTTTGAACAATGAATCTGTTTTCCAACAGATTTTGAAGAAGTCCTGGTGTAAAATAACTTTTCTATAGGTAACCGTTTCGGTTGATGTACACGGTTACTGTGTTCAAGAGTCATATTAATAGTTCCTTTCTCTGTTTCAGGATGCCAGAAAAGCATGTAGTGATACAACTCTTGCTCAGGTATGTCATTATTTTTATATTGGGAAGTAGCCCCTACAAGGCAATAGGTTTCTTGAGTGATTATAGCATGCCTGGTATGGTGGCTGAAAAAGGTGGAAGTGCAGCAACTCTTGACGTACATTGCTTAGTGCACTATTTACAATTATAAATTGAAGCAATAATTACAGAGGATGGAAAAAAAAGCTAAGGCCTTTACAGGTATTATTTGCAGCCAGTCAAAAAGCTCTAAAGCCATGAGACACCTACATACATCAGAAATACCTTGGATAGATTTCTTTCTTATATATTATATTAAATATTATACATATTTTCCATAATTCACCTTTTTAAATATTTCATGAAACTGTATGGCATAACGGTTTGGCTTTGAGAGTTGCTCCCACTTAGCTATGTATTAAGCTGTCTATTTTATTTGGAAACTGAAGTTTTTCATTTAAAATCCAGGTCTGGGCTCTTAGGTGGCAGTTGTCAGACTACCGAAAAATGACACTGGAATAAATACTAAATGATCATTTTCTTCTGGGGCTATTATTTTGAGGGTGTGAATTGTCAACATCCATAAAACTTTAATGTAAAAATAAAGTTCACACCTAATACATACAGAAGCTCCATCTACAGAGTGCCTGAAACATTTAGAGTAGCGACCATCATTCAGTTCACTGTCACTGATACCCTGATTTTCTTGCAAAACCTTTTGACTGGCTACACTATCGCATCATTGTGCACTGTTTCTGTGGAAACCGTAGTCCCTGTTGTATGTCTAAATTCTAGTGGTGCAAAATTTTTATGTTCCTGGCAGTTTGCGTGTTGTACACATTTATGACCATCTCGGAGATACAGAATAATTGTTTGGTTTGTGTTTTTTTCCTGTTCAGATCACCACAAGTCTGGACTCAGTGGGTCGAATCCAAATGCGAACAAGACGTACACTGAGAGGTCACTTAGCTAAAATTTATGCTATGCACTGGGGATCTGATTCAAGGTTTGTACAAGTGGTTCTTGAACTTGGAGGCAGAGGGATCCCTTTTCTAGCTCTTGAAAGAATTGTAGACTTACTAGAGAGACAAGGTGGGTGAGGTAATATCTTTTGTTGGACCAACTTCGGTTGGTGAAAGAGACAAGCTTTCAAGCTTTTTCAGAGCTCTTCAGGTCTGGGAAAGGTACTTAAAGGGCTTGTCTTCACGTACAAAGCTACAATGGCACAGCTGCACTGCTGTAGCACTTCCGTGAAGATGCTGCTATGCCAATGGGAGAGCTTTTCCTGTCGGCGTAGTTAATCTACCTCTGTCTACACCGGGGATTAGGTCAATGTAGTTTTACCAGTATAAATCTGCAGTGTAGATCTGGCTAGATTGTCACAGCTAAATACAAGTTGGAACAGATTGTTAAGCATAAGGAGTTATCACATTGTAAGAGACCACAATGAAGTTGGCAGTTAACACGTCTGCAGTTATAGGACAAAGAAGGGTTATTCGGTCAAAGATTGTTGTAATGAGCCATAAATCCATTGTCTTTATTGAGTTTGTCTATTACAAGAAAATCCAGACATCTTGTGGGACCACTCTGCGTATGTCTACACTCCAGTTAAAAACCCACAGCTGGTCCGTGCCAGCTGGCTCGGGCTAAAGGGCTGTTTAATTGCGCTGTAGATGTGCCCGAGCCCGAAAGTCTACGCCACAATTAAACAGCCCCTTAGCCTGAGTCAGTTGGCACAAGCCCTTAGCCTGAGTCAGTTGGCACAAGCCAGCTGCGGGTGTCTAATTGCAGTCTAGACATACTTTCAGTCTTCAGACACTTTTGAGGGCCATAGATCATAGCAAATTTTGAGAAATGTTTATACTACAGCTTTCCTTTTTAAAGCGAGTTATAATCATACAGAAATAATGAAAAGGGAAATCATTCCATTATAAGGATATATGCTTCACTTTTATTTTCCATAAGCATTTTGTCTGGTCTTTCAGATGGTCTATTACAGATTCTTCAAATCTGAGAGCCTGGTTTAGGGTGGCACTTAACTTCAGAATTCTTTGTATTACATTTTCCCTTAAGCTATGAAAGGTCGTGTAGCTTGAAATAGTTGATTTAGTGCAAATGTATTTTAAGTTAATAGAACACTGTAAGGACATGGAATAACAATATTTTTCAGTGAATTAAAATGTGTTTTCTAAATCACAACAATAAATGTAGTGTGCCTTGTTGTTCTGCAGCTAATTCAGTATAGTTCTGATTATTAGTATAAGAAATTCATCAAAAGAATTGACAAATAATCCAAATAAGATTTAAATACATGCATAATGTGTTAGATTGATTCATTGGAAGTTTTTATCAAAAACTCTTCAAAATGTCTACAGTGCCTTCCCCACTGCCAAAAGGTATATGTAAATGAAGAAAATAGATGCAACTTGTTCTGATGGAACAAAAGAGTGATCCTGGAAGGCTTCTGAAATATAAAATAACTCCTTCCAAAGTTTTTTGAACAACCAATAGCCATCTCAACATATGGTTGGCATTCCAGAGGCTAATTGTACCTGGTGATATTTTGTTCTGGCTTGTCTAGACCAGGAGTATCTATACTACATTTATGATACTAAAACACTGAATCTGAAGGATACAAACAACCAGTAGGGAGAGGTTATAAAATTTGTAAATAGCTTGAGCAGTTTTAAATGTCAGTTATTCTAGCTTGTTTTAATAGTGGAAGTTTATCCATGGATTCAGGTAATATTTTCTAGCAAGCAACACGTTGTTCTTTGCAGCTGTCCACCAACTTTTGGCCCTAGAAAGTTTAAAAATAGACACAAGGAGAAAATGAAAAGGCTTTTCTGAATTACTTGACATTCATGCATCTTGTCTATTTTGAAATTAAGTATGAGACAAGAAGTTAACATGTTAATATTTCTGTTTTGTGGTTATCTTTAGGCTACTAGTCAGCGCTTCCCAAGATGGAAAATTAATTATTTGGGATAGTTATACAACAAACAAGGTAGAGTTGTTTATAATCCATATTTGTAATCTGTACGCAAGTGACACTTCTGTTTTAGTTCCTTCTTTCTGTAACACTTTTCTTTTAGTTGGATTGGCTCCATCCCTTTTTCCTGTTGAAGTTTTAACTAGCTTGCTTTCATTATTTGTTATGTCCAGCTTTTTATTCAAAGTGCATTTTAGCTTGGGTAATTCCTATTTCTATATGTTGAGTCTTTGCTTCTATTCACTGTAGTTCGCTTGCTGGGAGAAAAGAATATGTAGGTTTTTTATAACCCTCTGATAACTGTCTCTGAGATCACTGGTAAAGTGTGCTGCAGAAGTAATGTGGTTAGCATGGGATCCGTTGGAAGCTTAGCAGTGCTCCTGGTGTTCATTGGCCAAGCATTTGTGTGTGTCAGGCGTAGGTGGGTGGGGAATCTTTCTAAGGAGTTTTAATAACTAACTCCTTGTTACTGTTGTTTTTGCAACCGACCACCCTACTTGTGCTGTTGTTTCTGTGGCACATGCTCTGCTATTCTGTTGCAGAAGCACACAATCCCAGGGTTTACAGAGAATGAATATAAATCCATTATAATAGATGTTTAGCTCCTTGGGACAGAGCAAGTGAGAAATCTTGATCAAACGAGGAAGGACTGGGGTGCAGCTCCTCTGCTAATGGCAATTGGCATAGCTTCATTGGTGGAGCTATGCCAATCTACCCCAGTTGAGGTTCTGGCTCAGGAAGACAAACTGGAGGGAGGAATTTGAATAGAACGAAACCTGTTGCATGTTTAACTAGTTTAACTGAAATCCTTAATTTCAGAATAGCTCTGATACTATAAAAACGATTGTACTGAACTTGCACACATCTAACCAGGCGACCATTTTTTCCATCCCTTAAGTAAATATTCAGCACAAATTGAAGCGTGTTTAAAATCAGATTCTTTATTACTTGGATATCCCACTATCTTATTTAGTAGCATCTGCTACAATGCTAAAGCAGTATTGCAGATAACTAGATGCAGAAGGTTGGACAAGAATGGCTATGGTTGAGTGTGACTGCCTAAAATGTGGTGTAGTTCTAATATGCCTTGTGTCTCTGTAGATGCATGCCATTCCTTTGAGATCTTCCTGGGTGATGACCTGTGCATATGCTCCTTCTGGCAACTATGTCGCTTGTGGTGGATTGGACAACATCTGTTCCATATATAATTTGAAAACCAGAGAGGGCAATGTGAGAGTGAGCAGAGAGTTACCAGGGCATACAGGTCAGCTGCATTTTACTACATTTATTTTTCTTTACTGTTAGTCAAAGTCAGACAGTCACAAGCCTGCACTGTTCACAGCATGCCCTAAAGTGAAAACAAATGTTAACAATTTGCAAAATGGAATATAGTCTAATCTTGGTTTTGATCAGATTTAGGAATCACTTTTTGTATGTCACTCATTTTGGCTTTATCAGTCTTAATGCTAAATTCTGTGTTCATTTAGTTCTGCCAGTGAGATACCACCAGTAGCTATCTGAGCAAATGGAGCAGTACGTACTTCGGTGAATTTGGCTTCTGTACTGCTATTTTTAAAATACAAGTAGCATCAAGTGATGGTTGTGTGACATACTGAGAAGGTTTTTTGGATAACTTTTACTGCGACAGTGGGGTATGAAATTGACATCTGCCATTATTCTGTTCCTAGGATACTTGTCCTGCTGTCGTTTTCTAGATGACAACCAAATTGTTACAAGTTCAGGGGACACCACCTGGTGAGTTTTGGAGGTGGGGGGGAGTTGGGGGGGTTTTTTTTTTTTGTTTCAGTGCTTCGATTGTTTTTAAGCTAAACTTGCAGAAACCCCATTATATTGCTGAAATACATCTGTTTTATCTGCAGTGCTCTTTGGGACATTGAAACTGGTCAACAGACCACCACCTTCACTGGGCATACCGGAGATGTGATGAGTTTATCCCTAAGTCCAGACATGAGGACTTTTGTTTCTGGTGCCTGTGATGCCTCCTCCAAGCTTTGGGATATTCGCGATGGAATGTGCAGGCAGTCTTTCACAGGGCATGTGTCTGATATTAACGCAGTTTGTGTAAGTGAGCATTTCTATTTACAAATGGAGAGCGAGGAGACAATAAGTGTAGCTGTAAGATTTCAATTTATAATCTAGTTTTCAAAACAGGGTGGAAAGTCGTCAAGTCTCTGATTTGGCCACTTACAATTAATGTAGTTTCTTAGAATCTGAGATCTTGATAAGACCAACCACCTGCAATCTAGTTCATGACTATTAATCATACATATCCTCTAGATATGGTTAAGTGATCTTGGAACAATTCAGACTGTCATCATTTAGTCTAAGTTGTCATAATGGTTTGCTGCTCTGTCCATCTTTACCTGCTTGACCTCCTTTTGCTTCATAATACTTTATCTTTGCTTGATTGGATATGTCCATTTACAGTAGGTGTGTGTACATCTTGTGCACCAGTGGTGGAGAATTTTCCCTAGCAGCATCAGTAGAGGCGGCCACTCCTGTGCTATGATGTCCCTCATGTTCTGAGCGGAGTATAAAGTGGCAGAGCTGCCCTGCCCTTCATTCAGTTCCTTATTGCGGTTGGTCAGAGCATGCGGTCAGCTTGTTCCTTCTACAAATAATCTTGTTCTTTCTGATCTCTTTCTTTGAGAAGGTAACCTCTTTTTTTAGATAAAGGAATGCAGTGGATCTAATTTACCTCTATTTCAGTAAGGCATTTGATACGGTTCCACATGGGGAATTATTAGTTAAATTGGAAAAGATGGGAATCAATATGAAAATTGAAAGGTGGATAAGGAACTGGTTAAAGGGGGGGAGACTGCAATGGGTTATACTGAAAGGTGAACTGTCAGGCTGGAGGGAGGTTATTAGTGGAGTTCCTCACGGATCGGTTTTGGGACGAATCTTATTTAATCTTTTTATTACTGACCTTGGCACAAAAAGTTGGAGTGTGCTAATAAAGTTTGCGGATGACGCAAAGCTGGGAGGTATTGCCAATACAGAGAAGGACCGGGATATCCTACAGGAAGATCTGAATGACCTTGTAAACTGGAGTAATAGTAATAGGATGAAATTTAATAGTGAAAAGTGCAAGGTCATGCATTTAGGGATTAATAACAAGAATTTTTGTTATAAGCTGGGGACTCATCAGTTGGAAGTAATGGAGGAGGAGAAGGACCTCCGAGTATTGGTTGATCACAGGATGACTATGAGCGGCCAATGTGATATGGCCGTGAAAAAAGCTAATGCAGTCTTGGGATGCATTAGGTGAGGTATTTCCAGTAGAGAAAAGGAGGTGTTAGTCCTGTTATACAAAGCACTGGTGAGACCTCATCTGGAATACTGTGTGCAGTTCTGGTCTCCCATGTTTAAGAAGGATGAATTCAAACTGGAACAGATACAGAGAAGGGCTACTAGGATGATCTGAGGAATGGAAAACCTGTCTTATGAAAGGAGACTCAAAGAGCTCGTCTTGTTTAGCCTAACGAGAAGAAGGCTGAGGGGAGATATGATTGCTCTCTATAACTATATCAGAAGGATAAATACCAGGGAGGGAGAGGAGTTATTTAAGCTTAGTACCAATGTGGACACAAGAACAAATGGATATATACTGGCCATCAGGAAGTTTAGACTTGAAATTAGAGGAAGGACTCTAACCATCAGAGGAGTGAAGTTCTGGAACAGCCTTCCAAGGGGAGCAGTTGGGGCAAAAGACATATCTGGCTTCAAGACTAAGCTTGATAAGTTTATGGAAAGGATGGTATAATGGGATAGCCTATTTTTGGCAATTAATTGATCTTTGACTATTAGCGGTAAATATGCCCAATGGCCTGTGATGGGATGTTAGATGGGGTGGGATTTGAGTTACTACAGAGAATTCTTTCCTGGGTGTCTGACTGGTGAGTCTTGCCTACATGCTCAGGGTTTAGCTGATCGCCCTATTTGGGGTCAGGAAGGAATTTTCCTCCAGGGCACATTGGCAGAGGCCCTGGGGGTTTTTCACCTTCCTCTGCAGCGTGGGGCATGGGTCACTTGCTGGAGGATTCTCTGCACCTTGAAGTCTTTAAACCATGATTTGAGGACTTCAGAGGCTCAGACGTAGGTTAGGGGTTTGTTGCGGGAGTGGGTGGGTGAGATTTGGCAGCCTGCGTTGTGCAGGAGGTCAGACTAGACGATCATAATGGTCCCTTCTGACCTTTAAAGTCTGACTCTAAATGAGCTGTTAGTGGTTCTCATTTTTGGATCTCTTGGACCCCTTTTACTTTTTCATTATATATCTATTGTTCAGACTCAGTGGACTTTGGGCTCTGCCTGATACTGGGTGGGGTGGGGGGAGAGAGAGAGAGAGAGAGAGAGAGAGAGCCTGTCCCCCAGCGTCAAGCCCTGCTCCAGGTGTCCAAGCCAGTGCCCGTGAGCGATCCTCACTCACTGTTTGAAGCGTTTGAATGAGGTCACATCAGGAACGTGTGTCTGATTTGCCTGGGCTTCAAGATAAGAACTAAGAAGCAAAGAGAAGAACATCTCGGGTGCATCCTCATGGAGGCTGCCCTTTGCCCAGCATCAGAACTACCTCTGTGGATAGAGGGAGTTCCTCAATCACTCCATCCACGAGTGTTACCCAGTCTTACCTGTGGACAGACAGGAGGAGATCCCCCTCACTGGGCAGTCCTCAAAGAGGTAACAGTGCTTGGAGTGCCCTCAGCCTCTGAAGCTGAAGAGGAGGACAACTTCATGTCAAAGTACTCGGTATGGGATTCCTCAGCCTCGGAGGCTAGCCACTTTGGTATCAAAGGTAGAGTACGTCCTTTGGCCCCTTGCTTCCCACTATCTCATTTTAGTGGTTCTCTCAGAGCAGAACTGTTGACTTCAGTTCGTGTGCCAGGACTGGTGAGGGCGGCTGCTTCCTCAGCACAAACAATGGAGCTACCGCCCTTGCTCACAGTAGGGCAAAGGCCCATTTCATACCAGCCACCCCGGAGGCCTACACAGCTTCATAGGATCTGCTGAGCCTCTCTGTACCACCCTCACTGATCATTTAGACCGACAGCACCTTGCTGGGGCTGTTGCACATGTTGGCTTCCACATTGGGGGTCTGTTACGGCGCCAGCAACTTCAGGTTCAGTGCTGCTTCCATTAACCCCAATGCCAGCTCCAAGACCAATGGTAACTGCTCTGCCTCAGCGCATCGTCCTGATAGCCAGGAAGCCCCAGGATGGCTGCTGGTGCTGAAGGCTTGTTGTAGATCACTTTCCCCATCTCTGACTGGTACCGCTCTACCCTGGCCTTTGGAGTACTCCTACTTCTCCTCAGTCTGAAGTGGTTTCTGATGTCTCCCACTTCAGGAAAACTAGGGATTGTTCCCACTCTCATAGGAGTCATCCTGCCAAGAGTAGATCAAAGGAATGGGAGGGCCTGATCTAGGCATAAGTGGCCTCCAATACCATACCAGCTCTATCATTGGCCCTACTGGGTACAGTGGGGGATGCCTACGGCATCTAGATCTTTGTCTCCACTGCAGTACAAAAATTAATCCCAGAGAAGGGAAGTGTCCCTGCCTATTACTGAGATGCCATCAGAAGTCAGGCAACCACTACTATGGAAACATATCCCTGAGGGGAGCATCACACCTACCAGGGATTCAGAATGCCTTAGTAAACTGACCAAGCAGGTCATTCAGCAGGGCCCCCTCCGAGCAGGACGTCGCCACTTACCTCAGTGGCTCCCTGGAGGTTGAGTTCGGGAGAGAGGGGGGAGACCTGTCCTCTCTCTGGTCCCGCGCCCGCAACGCCTCTAGACGCCTGGGAAAGAGGATCGGCTGCCACTGGAAGTGGTGCAAGGAGTGCTGGGAATACTGGTGCTACGAATAAAGACCCCGGACCACACCATCATCACCCCGACCGCCAGAGCTATGCTGGAAAGGACCCTGAAAGACGCCATCCGCTGCCACTATGCCGAGAACCTCAAGCAGAAGCCGGACCAGGGAAAGGTGTTCGAGGTGTCCAGCAAGTGGGACGCCAGCAACCACTTCCTCCCCGGGGGCAGCTTCACCAGGTTCGCCAACTGGCGGTTCGACCACAGGACCCGACTCAACTGCGTTCCCCTCAACGGAGCCATCTGCCACGGCAACCGGGACAAGCGCTGCAGGAAGTGCGGCTACGCAAACGAGACCCTGCCCCACTTCCTGTGTGGATGCAAACAGCACTCCGGAGCCTGGTGGCACCGCCACAATGCCATCCAGAACCGGCTGGTGAAAGCCATCCCGCCATCCCTGGGGAAGATCACCCTCGACTCCGCCATCCCTGGGACAGACAGCAGACTGCGACCCAACATCGTCGTGACGGACGCAGAAAAGAAGGTCCTCATGGTAGATGTCACGGTGCCATTTGAAAACCGGTCACCGGCCTTCCACGAGGCCCGAGCACGGAAGGCGTCGAAGTACACCCCGCTGGCCGAGACTCTGAGAGCCCAGGGCTACGAGGTGCAGATACACGCCCTGATCGTGGGAGCCCTGGACTCGTGGGACCCCCACAACAAGCCGGTACTGAGAGCGTGCGGAGTCGGTCGACGCTACGCCCGGCTCATGAGACAGCTCATGGTGTCCGACACCATCAGGTGGTCAAGAGACATTTATATGGAACACATCACAGGACACTGTCAATACCACATTGAGTAATTGAGACCGCCGACCAGGGAAATAGCCCACTTCCTTCCCTAACGAGCCAAGGGACGCACCCCACCCATGTACTCATTCGCTGCACCGATACTGACTTGGACTCCTTATAAATCCCATGGGTGGCGTACCCGAGCCCACCTATCCACTGACACTTTAAAAAAACTCTTGCACCCCAATCTGGGTCTATGCCGGTTATGTGATATGTATGTATCACTTCATCCTTGCAACAGTTACCTGTAATCCCTCATAACCCAAGCCTGACCCCAGATGTACAGTACCTTACCTCTTAACTTGTGTATATTTAATTTTAAACATTAACTTGAATAAAAATTTTAAATCTGTTCTTATCTGGACAATGACTGATGGTGGTTCGACACCCGCCTGGGTAGTTTATCCCCCTGGTTATTGTCTTTGGGGAGCTAGTATCTGGGCGCTTCCCACAGCATATTTTAGTGACAGCCATATAACACAATTCTCATAACTTCATATGCATTAATGATACATATATTTAGATGGAACAATGGGTTTCAGCAGATCATAACCTTTCCCATGATACCTTATAAGGCATGCTTTGTATGCAATATCACAACTATATACAAATGATGAATATGGGGGTTATAGGGCGCTCCTCTGGAGTGTAGTGTGTCACAAAACCTTAAAAAAAAAAGGGGGGGGGGGGAGGAGACAAAGTACAGGTTAGGCTACACCTTAAATTTTTCATCATGGTAGTATTTGATTTCCACCTTGACTAATCTATATATTGGTCGTCTTTCCAAAGCCATGTGCTCATAATGATGAACAACAGGTCCACGCTTTGGATGTTTGCTGGTCACTGTTTTTTTATCTAGATAGAGCAAAGCACTTTTGGGTCTATTTTCAACTATTCATCTCCTATGCAGAACGAATGAGTGTCCTGTAACGGTGTAGTGACTATCCAAGTGGATCACCAGCTGTGTTTTCATGTGCTACAAGATCAAGGGCCTAACGCCTTCTCAGAAGTGCTCTCTGCATTCAGCCAGAGCGCACTCAGCTTCTGCAGTATTTCTGGGAAGCATCGATATTGTGAACATCTGCAGAGAGGCAACGTGGTCTTCAGTCCACATCTTTGCTAGATATTATGTGATTACTACCACGTCAAGAGAAGACACAAATGTGGGGAAAGCAGTTCGGCAGTCCCTCTTCTGATGAGAATCCTAGTCCCAGCTCTGTTGGAAACTACATGGGAGTCTCCTAGTGTAATGGGCATGTGCAATCGCTTGAAAAAATGGTTACTCCTTGCAGCTGCTCTTTTGAGATGTCTTGCATATGTTCTTTACGTGACCCGCCCTCCTTCCCCAGTGCATTGGAGTCTCTCATCTGAGGGCTTGTCTGCACTTGAAATGCTACAGTGGCACAGCTGCAGATGAACTTCAAGTATAGATACTACCTATGCCAGTGGGAGGGGTTCTCCCATCAGCATAGGTAATCCACCTCCATGAGAGGCAATAGCTAGGCTTCCCTCAACCAGCACTGTCTACACTGGGGGTTAGGTTGGCTTAACTACATTGCTCAGGGGTTGGGATTTTTCACATCACTGAGCGACATAGCTAGGTTGACCTCACTCTTTGGTGTACACGAGACGGAAGAAGATACAGTGTGAAGGTACTGAAGGTAGGCTGGGGTGGCTCCACCCTGGTAAACCCTCTGCTCAGGGCACACGGCATGCGAGGGTGCAGGTGTGGCCACCCCTGTGGGTATCTCTAGGGAAAACTCTGGCACTGATGCATGAGATGTGTACACACCTAGTGTAATGGACATATGCAACATATATCAAAACAACAGTTACAAGAAGGTAACTGGTTTTTTTTTTTTAGGAGTAAAGAATAAAACTTCAAGATGGAGTCAGTTCTCTTACTTTTATGTTAACCAGTGTGTATTTGGATTTCCTGTAGAAAAGGGCATCTTTAAACTCTGGAAACCAACGGTGAAACTAGTGCTTAAAAATGCAGAATATGTTTACCCTTGGAATAGCTTTGTAATATTTCTAAACTGGAGTGTATTTCCTCTGTTTGTCACAGCCACATTTTATGTCCTGATCCACAGGACACAAATTCTGTTTAATGGGTGATGAAATGGGTTGGGGAGAGGGATAGCTCAGTGGTTTGAGCATTGGCCTGCTAAACCCAGGGTTGTGAGTTCAGTCCTTGAGGGGGCCACTTAGGGATCTGGGGCAAAAATCAGTACTTGGTCCTGCTAGTGAAGGCAGGGGGCTGGACTCGATGACCTTTCACGGTCCCTTCCAGTTCTAGGAGATAGGATATCTCCACTAATTTGGAAAAAAAAATAAATCTAAACCTACATTGTATCTTTTTTATAAACACTGCAAATTCTTACGTCTCTGGAATACCAGCAGCATGATCTGTGGAGAAATGCAGCCCATACGCTTGGGTCTAATCCTGAAATGTGCTTGGTACCTTTCACTGACATTTAAATCAATGAGGTACTTAATACGGATTATTTAGTAGGTGTGAATTTTGGAGGCTGAAGTGCTAGCTTGCAGTCCTCTGTTGTGATCCAAGCAACCTGACTGACCAGCTCAAGGTGGAACATTGTGTACAGGCCAGTCTCCATGGCTCATGCCAAAGGAAAAAATGGCTATGCTCCACTCCATGAGATGTGTGGAAATTAGTTGCATCCCTCTGTCTTTTGAAATTTGCCAATGAAGTCATTGGCTGGGCAAAGTTTGAATGCACCTGCCTTTGGTCAGTACTATGCTACAAGTGTTAAACACAATTGTGTGTGCACAACAGTTGCATTTTATTGACAATCCATTTTGATGTCTTTTTGTTTTCTTTTTGCTCATGAAATTGTGCTGTATCTGAATATCTCAGTAAAGACAATCTCTACATGCAGTTTTTGAAACCGGGCATGAGCAACACTTTTCTCTGGTGTCAAACTCCTGTCTCATTTTCATTTTCAGTTCTTCCCCAATGGACATGCATTTGCGACTGGTTCTGATGACGCCACTTGTCGACTCTTTGACCTGCGTGCAGATCAGGAGTTAATGATGTACTCCCATGACAATATCATCTGTGGAATCACTTCTGTAGCATTCTCAAAAAGTGGTCGTCTCTTGCTAGCCGGCTATGATGACTTCAACTGCAATGTGTGGGATACTCTGAAGGGGGAAAGAGCAGGTTGGTAAATGGTATCTGCAGTGAGTTGCAGTTCTTTTTCTTTAGCAGGATCTCAACATGGAACACATTCCACTTTCTGTAACTTTTAAACATAAAACTAGTTCACTGGTAGTGATGATACCTGCGGCTGCTGTTGAATTGTGAAATCTTCTCTGCTTCCTTTACTCAACGTAAAGGTTTACTTTTGGATTTGTATCCCTATTTTCTTGCATTTTACTTTTTCATAATTTCAGATCTGGTAATAGTGATGTTTAGAAAAGAGAGGTGAGGTTTTCTGTTGTGTACAGTAAGTGGTTTCGTGTCTGGTTTTGGTTATAGACATTGTCAGCACCTCCGATTTATTTATTTACTTTATTATATAATATACTGGGAAAATCCAAATGCAAAATAGTTAAAATATTTGGTTCAAGGGTTCAGGACTTCCCAAGATAGGAGCTAACTCATAATGTTGAGGCGCTAATATTGCTTTTAAGATAAAACATAGAGGAGGATACTTCTTCTGTCACTTAACCACTCTTAAAAACAAACAAAAACCTCCTCCAGGATGTCTTGAGGTGAATTTAACCTGAAAAGTAATGTACAAAACTTGAAAAGCTTCAGCTGTTAACCTCCTCCATCTTCTCTTCCAGGTGTCCTTGCTGGCCATGACAACCGTGTCAGCTGTTTAGGTGTTACTGATGATGGCATGGCTGTAGCTACAGGGTCTTGGGACAGTTTTCTCAGAATCTGGAATTAACTGGGAGACAAACATGTACATTCTCCATTGAGATCTGGAGAGATCAATGCTGCAGCCTATAGCTGTGAAATAACATTTCTACCTTGTATTTGCAGGTGAAGTTTTTCTATTCACTGATTATTACACAAAAAGGCTTTCTGTAAACTAGAAAAAAATCAAGTGAAGAAATAGGGGTGGGGGTGGAGAAATCACTGACTTTTAAAAAGGGGCCAGGCCAGCACACATAATCATGGTGACTGAGAAACTAAGAGCCAGTCTTTTTTGTTTTTGGTGGTTTGGTTAGATTGTCCTCGAGGGATTTCTGCTTGTGCTCAAAGTCTGCTAATTCTGTACTTTTTTTGTACATAACAGAATATACACATTATAGCAGCCAATCATGTAACATTTGTCTGTATGTAAAGAAATATGTTTGCATTTTTTAAGGAACTACATTTATAGCTTTGCATTTAACCTGAGATGTCACTTCTGAGTTCTGTAGTGGATGAACTAGATTGCTGTTTTAAACGCTTTTGTGAATTTACTGTAGATAAAGTGGAGCCAATGGTATGTATGTGTTTTTATAATGGAAGGCATTTGAATTACTACTTTTTTTTTTTTTTTTTTTTTTAAAAAGGCCCTGATGACCGTGGTAATACCTAGCGCCTTACTTATTCACTTCTAGACCTATTTGTCTATTTAAGCATGGGGATTACTCCTTCCAGCCAGTGGTTCCTGGTTCATCCATCAGCAGCCATGGCCTCCAAGCACCAAGAGAATGTTAATGCCATTAGGTACATATATATGTAATATAACAAAATAAGGTTTTAACACGCTGGCATCAGAAGAACAGAGTACTTAAGTCAAGTAACACATTACTGTCACTAAGTGGGTGAGTGCTTTTTCCTTTTGACAGTGGAGTTGTAAATGAGAGGATTCTGATCCACTGCAAACTCCAGCTGCCATGCACTAGCAAGGTGATATTCTAGCATGGAGTTGACTGAATAGATTGTGTACACTTTTACAATTTCTTCAAAGTTGCTGTTCAACTACTACAGCAAATGAAGAGATTTAAGAGGGTTTCTCTATGAAGGCTTCCTACGGATGGCTTAGGAAGTACAGTGAATCCCTTACTAGAACTGCAAAGTTAGAGGTTCACCCTAATATTTCACAACAGAACATGCTTGTCTTGTGTAATGGTTGAAGTGACCATGTTATCTACAATGAACAATAACCTTTTTGATAATCTTTCTGATCCCTCTAAAACTTTACACTCTAAATTTAAAATCCTGCTAGTTCATTTACAACCGAAGTGGTCTGTGCTTTGGTATCTAATAAGATGCCAATCTGCAAACTGACAGTAAATAGTCATTTCCTTTTATATGCCTGATCTTGATATGATTCACTTATAAAATGGAAGGCACTGAGAGCACTTGAGCTAGTAAGCATTTTCTTATTGTGTAGGTATATGACAAATCATGTGACTCAAACCCATTTGAAACTACCCATGAAGATCACTTATCTCTGGTGCTGGCAGCGTGTCCATGTTTGTGATGGATGTCCCTGGGGGAATCTGAGTTGGGCATGAAAGTACCTGATACTTTCAGGAAAGGGCCATTCTCTGTTGGCTTCTCGTAAGTGATTTATTTTAAATGTGTGTATTTAAACAAATTACCATAAAGCTGAAAGTTAATGTTAATCTGCTGCCCCCACCTGAAGGTGCGATGTATCCAAATGTCCTTGGGTCAGTTTGTGAACATAAGTGCCCAGCAGTCTGTAATATGAAAAGAGATTGTTGCTGAGACCACTGTTTGTGAAGTTTCTACCACTTGTCATTCTAATTTCAGTACTTCCGGACTGTGCCTGTAAATATGCCATGTTTACAACGGTGGAGGTGCCAATAAATGTGCCAACTGTAGTCAATCCAGTATCCGTTAAAAAGCACATCCCGTGCTGGAGCAGTATACACTTACTAAAGGCAGATTATGGTGTAGGACCAAAATCATGTTCTGCTGTAGATCACAGAAACTCATCTGCATTTTCTTTTCAGCAAGATTATTTTGTGTTCTGCTCTGTTTGCATTAACAGAATTATTTATGGACTATTTGTATCTTTTTCCAAGAGGGCAGCTCTTTGAGGTCAGGCAGAACACTTGATATTTTTTAATGGTGCCTTTGATTTTTAAACTTGCAGCTGCTTCTGGTTTGAGTGAATCATTCTGAAAATTTGCTAGTAAACTCTTAGAGGAAAAATTTAAATTACTAAATAGTTTCTCATTAAAGGTGCATCTTGAAGTGACTTCCTAGTTGCCAGTGTTGTAAAGTGACTTCCCATACTTGCAATTAAATATCATAAGCTATTTCCCTTTATACTGCAGTATAGATGTTTGCTGTCTAACTCGTAAGTAAATCAGGTTTCTAAAAGGGTAACGGGATGTCAACACCTGAGGAAATATTTAACTCCTGGGGCGAATGTACACCAAAATAGTGGTTACTGTTGGAGTCCTGGTATAAGTCTGTTTGGATTGTTTGCCTTTTTTAAAGCATTTATAGTAGTGGGACATTTATTACATGATTACATCTTAAACTGAGGTCCTATAATGGGCCTATATGAGCAATTTCAGTTTTTTTAAGCATTGCTTATGGGTGAATTTTCAAGATGGTACACTCATTAAGATAGAGGTTAATTGCAGCTTAATTTTAAACCAAGCACCAAATCCCATCTTCTGCTATAAGCCACCATTTGCAGGTTTTACTTGAAAGCTTTCATCCAGACTCCTGCATCTCAAAGAAAATGTCTCCATGGATATTTTTAGACTAAAAGATGTATACCTGTAGCTTAATATAAGCTCAGATATGCAGGTTAGTGTAGATTCTAACCGTTCACATGATGGTGAACCAGTTTAATACAGGTAGTGGATTTTATAGCCCAATGGGGTACACATTAAACTATTGTGAAAAGTTTACCACTGCCAAACTGTAGAGCTATCTTAATTTCAAATACGTTATGTGGTTACAAAAATATTTACTAGATTTTGGAATTAGTAATACTTAGTACTAAAAACAGTTATGACCATCGTGCCAAAAATCTGTAATTGATAGGAAAGTAACCTTTTTCCAGGCTTCGTTCTAATATTAAATCCGTGTTTAAATGTACTTTAAAAGAACGGGCGTAGCAAAAATGTAATTGGTTGAAGCTGTAACTTGGAAACTGGAAATATGTGCCTCATATGAAATTACAGATTAATTCAGGTACAGCTGCTGTCCACTTTTTTTTTTAAGGCTGATTAGCTTTATGGTGAAGGATACTGATCAAGCAAACTTCCAGTTTGAACTTGCTCCCATGTATATTCAGCCTTTATCACTTTATTAGTAAAAATACTGGGTGAGATTCTAGAAACCACAAAAAGCTTTGACATGGCATTGTGCTAATGTACATTCACTTAGTATGGGTAATGTGTGTACCTCCTTTCAACCATCTCTAGACTTTTTTCCTCCTAAATGTCATTACCATCTGCCTTGCTGAATGTCACATAAGTATCTGACCGAACTGCTGGTTCAGTAGAAAAACTCATTCAAACTGCTTTCTTCTGAGGAGAGAGGTTGACCCTGATTTGGCAGTGCTGAATTGACATACCAGCTAGTCCTTATGTGCATACTATAATGCATGGATTGGAAATAGACAACTCTTTAATTCAGTTAATGTAACCACTTGTCCCCTCACGAAGTTCACATTACTTTAGGGTGAAATGATGATATTGTAAAAACATTCCAAGAGTGCTTAGTCTTTCCTCTTTGAGGACACTGTCACCTCCACTAGATTTAGTGCTGTGCTTTAAAATGTTGGTGAGAATAGGTATTGGCTAATTCAAATAGTTGGTATGAAATGGTTGTGTAGCAGAATGACAGATTTTGAGATAGCATTTCCTGTAAAAGTAATTAAGCATGGGTTGATGGTGCACTTTGTATACAGTAATCTGGCATGCATGCTGGTAAAACTACTTCCTACACTTCAGAGGCACCACAAGCCTTTTTATCCAATTGCTGGTTGTGTAAAATACATGCAGAATGTTAATGCAGTGTTGTTATGGTAAATGTGTGAACAGTGTTAATAATTGATTATAACTGATAACAGATTAAATGTGCCTGACATTCTTATACCACACAGTATGTTTAGGTTTTGACTAATATGGACTTCAGTGGAATAGTCTTAGATATTTCAAGGCTTTGTTTTACTTACACAATGGTGCTCTATTTGTTTCTCCTTTTTAAAAAAAAAAAGCATCTGAACACTTGTACTACATATTACATCCAAAGGAGTCCAAAACTAATTTTTTTTTTAAACATGCTTGACTCTTAGTTTGGCACTTAGCTCTGATGGCCCAGCATTTCTCATCTAATGGTTTTAATTTTACTTTCACTTGTTGCTGACTACTTTGATGGAAAACTTCAGTAATGTTACCAATTATGAAGTGATTCTGCACTGCCTTTGGATTGTGTATGTATTCAGAAACAGTCTTAAAGCTTTTATTTAAGCTAATTCAAAACAAGGACTTGTGCCACTTGTTCTATAACAGGGCTGTTATATAGACTTCCCTGTTTAAAAAAAAATCACTTGCTATGAACTCTGTTTATAGCTTCTCCCCCTTCCCCCCCAATGGATCTTTTCTTTGTATTTGTACAGTGGCTCAGTGAAAGATGTTGCCATGAATTGATATTGTAACCAATAAACAAGTGCTTTTAACCAGACTTGCTGTGGTGTGTGTATTTATTTTACAACCTTCCTTCTACCATGGCAGTCTTCTAAAGATGAATGCAACAGATACAACTCTGCAACAGCCCCTCCCTACAGATATTACTAATAACTTCCAGCATACATTTAAAAGTTACTTAAGATATAGCACGGGGTAGGCAACCTATGGCACGCGAGCTGATTTTCAGTGACACTCACACTGCCCGGGTCCTGGTCACCAGTCCAGGGAGCTCTGCATTTTAATTTAATTTTAAATGAAGCTTCTTAAACACTTTAAAAACCTTATTTACTTTACATACAACAATAGTTTAGTTATATATTAGAGTTATAGAAAGAGACCTTATACATTTTAACGTTTTTAGGACTGGCACACGAAGCCTAAAATTAGAGTGAATAAATGAAGACTTGGCACATCACTTCTGAAAGGTTGCCGACCCCTGATATAGCATAAATACACTTGTAACGTTTATGGCTTTGAATGATGACTAAGACAGATTTTGACACAAATAGCACTGCCTCATCTATAAAGTGAATATACTATTAAAGGTATGTCAAAAGTGCTACAGAGCAGACCCCAACTCTGCTGAAGTACATCTTTTTGAAACACAGATCCCCTGGACTACAGTAATGATTAGAGCACCTGGTCCTTCACAAGCAGAGTCTGCTTTAGGTGACCATGTTATCCCCAGTTTGAAAGTGGCATTCTGGATTTGGAATTTATTTCATAATTCTTTAGGCAAGCTGAGTCAGTTTCCCTCTTAAACACCACTACTTTCTGCTGCAATACCAGAAAGGGGAACAGAAGGGGCTTTGCAATCCATGCTATTAGAAGATGAGAGCAGAATACCTTTGCTAATAAAAGGGACAAGCTTTTAA